CATGCACTCTTGAGTCCAGGTGTACTTGGGAAAGATTCAAGCATGTTGTCCTGAATTTGTCCAGGAACTTGCCACATACAGGGAAACTGCCATTGCCACCCATAATTCCTGCTTTGTAGTTTACCATGTGATTATTGCTCCAGGTGATTGTAGAGGGAGGAAGCAGGAGGGGGAAAGGAGGAAGTTGCCAGCCTTGCTCAGACAAACTGCCTTCCCACTTGTGCAGGTGCAAACCCAAGCAGCGTTCCTGCTGGCGATGGAGCTGGCGAGACTGCTTGGCCTGGAAGAAACGAAGATGGCGACGGAGCAGGAGAAGCACATGCTGAGGCTGCTCATCCCTCTCGCTAAACTTTATACTGCAAAACAGGTCACACTCAGTTTGATACCATGGGATAAGCCGTGGTGTCCCTGACTGGCAAAGAGGGCACCTCTACAGGGCAGGTGTTCATAGGAGCTGAGGGGAGGAAAAATCTGCGCAGGCTGTTCTATTTCTGACCGGGTGTTTGGCCATTGAGTCTCTTGGTTCAAAGAATTGGGAATCATTGTCAGCCCCTCTTCCCCTAACAACGTTTATTCAAAGGCATCAGTTTTTGTCACAAACTTATGAAGGCAGGTGCGTTTGAATGAAATGGGTTGGTCAGAAGAGGAGCTAATGGGTTCCTGGTTATTTGGTTTGGCTGAAGCCCATAGGCAGACAGACCCCTGAATCTTCACGTAAACGTGGCTGACGTGTCTTTCCTGCCTTTAAAGATCAAATGCACAAAACAAAAACATTCAAACATTTACGTATCTGGTGGGCTGTTGTTTGTGCTTCTCCTAGCCTGGCATATTTGTCGGGTGTAAACAAGTCAGTTTGTATTTCAGGCTATCGCTGTGGCCTCAGAAGGCCTGGAGTGTTTCGGAGGACAGGGCTTCATGGAAGACACAGAACTGCCTGTTGTTCTTCGGGATATCCAGGTAAAGAAGCACTGGACTTTTTTTTTTTTGCTTCTTCTACTTCCTTCTTTCTTGCAGCCTGGTGCTATTTTAGGGAGAAAAAGCAGGAAGAGAAACTTGCACCTTAGTTCCTTTTGTTTCACCTTTTCTTCCTGATATTAGCTTGTTATCGCAAAGTTCTGAGATCATGAAGAAAAGGGGGGGAAAGTAATTCAGGCCTCTGAATACTCAGAAAGATCTTTCTTAAAGAATGCAGTCGCTTATAATGAATATTTTCCTTTGAAAAAAAACAATAGTATTGGGAAACTTTGGGACTGTTATGCCTGGTCAGCCCAACTTACCCCTCCAGGTTGGTGCTCTGGCATCTGTTTCTTGAGCTCTGTTTCCCTTTCACTGCCAGGCGCTATCAATCTGGGAGGGAACCACGAACATCCTGTGCCTGGATGTTCTGCGCTGCATTTTCAAGAGCCAAGGAAAAGTGCTGGATGTCTTTTTCTCCACTGCCCAGGTAAGCACCAATAAATGAGTTTCTCACACTAACTATAAATGTTAAAATTTCAAATGCACCTCGTAGGAGCAATAGGCTGTCAGCCTCATGTAAAATGAGGTGGTCCTTGTTGACATTGATGTGCTGCTATTGCCACTTCAGAACTCACTTCGATGCAGTTGGCAGTCTCTTTCATCTTGTTCATAGTTAACAGAAATTGGTTTATGAGAGAAATTGGTTTTTTAAGTAGCACAGTCCAAATTTACTGCCACTACTTATGGTATTTTGCCTACAGTCAGGGTGAAAAATATAACCTTCATCTGCCATAGTAGAAACCAGTCCAAGGGTCTTAAATCTAAAGCACAGGCAGACCCAGAGACTTCTAAAAATGACAATTCCACAGCAACATTTAATGTGTCA